GGTTAAAAAAAAAACCTTTGTAAAAAAACTGGTGGAAATGAAAATCTACAACAGGGGTGTCAAACTCATTTTCACCGGGGGCCACATCAGCAACACAGTTCCCCTTGAAGGGCCAGTTGTAAATGGAAGACGGTATAGATCAGGGGTCCCCAACCCCTGGTCCGCGGACCAGTACCAGTCTGTAGGTCATTTGATACGTGGCCGCAGGGGGACACAGTGAAAAAATGTACTTAATTTTTACTAATTTACTTCATTCAAAGAAAATCCAGTCATATTTATTTACTTTCTCCATTTAGAGAAAATCTGGCAATATTTTAAAATAATACGTATTCAGACTCTGATATAGAATAAAGTCTGAAAGATGTTTTATTTTGAAAATCTAATGATCCTTCAATGCTCAGTACCTTGGTACCAGTCTGTAGAAACAGCTGGTACTGGATGACCAGTCCTTGGAACAAAAAAGGTTGGGGACCTCTGGTATGGATGTAACTGTTCCATAACAGACCAAAACATGTTTCTGCAATTAATTATCATTTCATTGATTATATAAAGTTTTAATTTCTCAGGTTGATAAACTCTGCTGCATGGACTTAATTAAATGCTTTTTAAGATCGCTCGGGCCACACAAAATTACTGGGCGGGCCGCATTTGGCCCCCGGGCCTTGAGTTAGACACATGATCTACACCATAAATACAGCAATGGTGTAGGAGTCCCTCACGTGACGTGACAGACAGATGAGCAGATATAAAAAGGCCACAGGGTAAGATGAATGAGGAGACGGTAGACGGATGGAGCAGCCAACAACAGACAGAGGTGAAGGTACAGACTGTTGGCAGGAAACCAAATGAGTGTGAACAATCAGGGCGTGAAGAGGACAACTAGACCAGAATGTGTGTGTGTGTTTGTGTGTGTACTCTAGTACACCTGAACTATTTGTATTTGTCTTTCAACCTGAGAATTCACATTTTTCATCTGCTGTGTGTGTGTGTCAGTGTGTGTGTGTGTTGATGATGATGATTTTCATGAAGGGGCCATTACCCATTTAGGACAGAGACCATATGGGTTCCAATGTTTGTGGGTGTGTGTGTGTGTGTGTGTGTCTGGTAGGAGAGAGTGAGAGAGACCATTGGGAACAAAGTGTGCGCTACATTTGTGAAATGGACCGAGTTACAATGTGATATTTCTGTGTCTTACTCTGGCTATTCCTATTTTCATGCCCATCATCATCATCATCATCATCATCATCATCATCATCATCATCATCATCATCATCCTACAACATTGGAGGTGACAAAGATGAGCCATTTTATCCAACGATGCTGTTTCCTATCATCATTGTAAGTCACGTCCTCTGCACAGCTCATGTTCTAATTTGGTTTCCTTCATCGTCCCCATCGTCCCCTGTGTCCTCATGTTTGTCATCCTCGACTTCCTTATTCTGCATCTCTGTCATGTGACCTTTCTCCCCCATCCTCAACTCTGTTGACCAGGTTTCCATTGATATTGTGAGAAAAATGATCAAAAGTATGAATACAAATAATATAAAATTATATCTATATTATTATTTATTCCTATAGATTTAATTTTTGAAAATGTTATCAGAAATCACACTGGTTGAACCTGCACTAGCCTCCACAGGCTTCAACCAATCAGAGAACAGGGTGATGGCTACATTGGAATAACACAGACATTTGTTCCCATTCTCAGGGATGGGAGAAAACATAAATTGTGTGATTGGTCCGATTTGAAAGTGGGTGTGGTCAATGAACAAACAAGCCATTCTTTCCTCCAGTCACAGGAAGTAATTGACGTCGCATAGATGTTTGTACAGATTTCTAAAATGAATCATATCAGAATTCAGGACGTTTCCATTTTGGAGGATGACAGAAAATCAAATACAGTTCATGAGATATTACAGCAATAAACAGCTTCTTATTCTTTCGAGAGTTTTCTTGTTGCCTCTTTGATTTGGAAAAAATATGGCCCTTAATTAACGATGTAGCCCAGACAGAAAACAATGTTTTTCTTGCGAGACAAAAGGAAATGAATCTGCTGCAGTCGCTGCTAAACATCAGGGACTAATAAAGACCAACTTTCCACACAGCTATTTTATCTTGTTCATTAAAAATAATGAGTCAAGCAATTGACGCCATTTTTTATTCAGTAGCAATTAAATTGCTTCTTTAAGTGTCAAAGTCATCTGTCTGTGACTTTGCCAATTTGTCTTGTAGCGTGAGCTTAACTATTCTTAACTGTATGACAACACCTTTGGCCATTATTTTAAAAAGTCAAACACGACCGGCCTTTTTCTTGGATATGGGAGAAATCTAACCTTTCTGAACACGGTCTTATAATGTAACTCTTCGACTAGAGAAAGCTGGAAAATATGTGGAAAAACACACAGACATGCGAGATGACATGATAACATGCCAGTTATTGTCTAAGCCTTTCTATTGAAGCTCTTACATTCACATGCTGGTGTATCCTTGGGCAGGGGCCAAAGGTCAGTCCCATTGACAGCTAATCTTTTGTTTGTTTGTTGGTTTGTTTGTTTGTTTGTTTTACAATATTAATGAAAACGATGGATGAACGGTGCCAGTGCACGGCAATGTCAGGGCCGCAGAAATTCTGTTAACAAAACAACCGTTGCTAGTTTTGTTATTTGTGATTTTTTTTTTTTTTTACAAGACAGAGCGTGATATATTTTTTGTTTATTTTATTCTATATTTTATTTTTGTTTACATTTTATTCTATTTTTCTTGAAAGCTTGTACCAGTGACCCCTCCAGTAGGGGGTGTCCAAGGCAGTGGCCTAGGCACTCTTTGCCAGGGACAGCCTCTGTCGTTGGGCAAGAACCATAGCTCATTCCTAGTACTGTTTTTATGTGGAAAGCTGTCCATAAAGTCAAACACTGCT